CACGTGTACCTCCCCCAGCCCCTGGGGGCATGAGTCAGAGAAAGGAAAGAACATGTGAGCAGTTGGCAGTCCATTTCGGTTTGGTAAATCCTCCTATTTTCCACCGTTGTAGGTTAAAGACGGCCACGGATTCCTGCTACTTCTCCGGATGTGTCGGCCAATGTCCTTGTTGGAGAGCTCTGGTTTTAGTTACCTGCTTGACCAGAATGATGCTATTCGGGTGTCACTGGGCATGTCTGAGGGGAGAACATAAGAAACCTTGTAGCACTCACATTGGTCTCGTGGGGTACCTTTTCTGAAAGCCCTAAGCCAATGGGCAAGAAGCCTGACTATCTTGAGCCACATGAGTGTGCTCATGGGCAGCAGTCCACATGGGACCCACCAGAGCAGGCCACCTGCCTGCAAAACACCATTGCCTGAATTGAGGGGATTCTACACAGCAAAAATAAGTGTTGTAAGTTCTCAAAACTTCCTGGCCCATGAGATGATAGAATGGCGCTTTAATTTTCTGTGTCCTTATACAGTGGTAGACAGCAGAACCCTGAGGCTGGTCAGGTTGTACTCCGTGCGCCCATTCTTCACTCAGTTCCATTTAGCAAAACCAGTTCTTCGATGTGTGATCCTTCTTGGTGTTTGGACTAAATATCAGAAGCCATACAGAAGTCATCGGTATCTCGAGTTCCACTTGGCTGGGCTCCTCAAATGCAATATTTTTAGTTTTCCAAAATATTTAAATAAATTCAAATAAGATAAATGTGGATAATATCTCTTTGGTTACCCGAGGGAAATTAAGAGGGCATACTGTATGCTCTGAATGTCTGGGTAATTAAGTTGTTTGGCTTTTCATTTCTTCGACCAGAATATCTGAGAATACCTTAAAGATCTGTTTTGGCTCACAGTTCAGCAGGCTCAGCCCATGACTGAATAGTTCCACACACTTGGGCAGGGTGTCATGGTGGTAGGAGCTCATGGAGGAGGTAGCAGCTCACTTCATAGGACTAGAAGGGAGGCCTGGGGACCAGGTAGGACCTTCAATGATATGACTCTCCAGAGTCTCCACAAACCCTGATAGCCCTTCCCTTGGAGACTGACATTCAGAGAATAAGCTTATTCTTCCATATTTAACTCACAAGAGTACACCATGTTGAGTCTTGATGTAGGATTCAAGCTTCATGGGAAACTTACCCCACAGATAACTGGGGAGCTCTGATTCCTGGCAGGAGCTCTAGGGATTTTTGCTTTGTTTTTTCTGCATTAAGTACAGAGAAATCCAGTTATCCTGTATTCTAGAACACTGATGATCCTTCATGTCCTGTCTGACTGTGAAATTAAACAAGGAATAGTAAATTAACAGGACATTTTAGTTTTCAGGTTGTCCCTTATGATGTGTCAATTATTTATTTATTTATTTTGGTTTTTCAAGGCAGGGTTTCTCTGTGGCTTTGGAGCCTGTCCTGGAACTAGCTCTGGTAGACCAGGCTGGTCTCGAACTGACAGAGATCCGCCTGCTTCAGCCTCCTGAGTGCTGGGCCTAAAGGCATGTGCCACCACAGCCTATCGATGTGTCAATTATTAACTAGGAAATTAATCATTAAGAGGATTAATAAAATTGGCTTAACATTGTTAATGGCATACATTGCTCCTTAAATGATGGGGCTGGTTAACTTCTGTCCTTCACCGGTTCCTTAGTAACCTTGTCTCTGTCCTGTGTATTGTTAAGGGAGTTGGTTTTCTTGTTGGTTGACTTCTGCAAATTTATCAGCAAGTGCTGCAACTATCAAAAATAAAGCTTCATCTTGGCTTTCAACTCTTCTAACAGACACACAAAGGCCAGCCATTCTATATAGACTCATTGCTTCTTCTTCATCCACTTATTTTTACCCCCACCTCTGCACTCATTTCCTCATTCAAAAAGCATTGATTAAAAGACAGGGGAATTCTTGGTCTGTGGCCAGGCACACACCAAGGTCATCATTGCAACAATTCTCAGCCAGCTACTGAGGAGAGCCTGTAAGACTCACCATGACTCACTTTCAAAGGACAGGGCAGCAGCTTGAGCAGGAAGTTAAACACAACTTGAGGGCAATGGGTGGGACAGCCAAGGGGCAGAGAAGTGGGTAACTCTGAGAGTGACTGTGGGCTCCGTCCGGCAGACCTGCTGGATGCTCGGCCTGTGGGAGCAGGTTTGGCCCTGGTATGTAGCACAAACCAGCTCTGAACCTTGCCTTTCCCTTTGCTCTTGCTCTCACTCCCAAAAAGCACTCAAATTTCCTTCCACCGTGACTTCCTCCTTCTAGCTGTGCCAACAGCCATGAGTTAGGACACAGGGAGCATTGTTGGCCCTGTCACCCAATCTCTCTCTTACTCTCAGCTGAACTTTCCACTTCTGCCACCTCCCTCAGTGACAGTGGCTGCTAGCTGTTGCGTTCCCTCCCTGTTTCCTTCTTGTGTCCTGCATGACATTTGACCATACCCTAGCACACACAAATGCCATCTTCCAGCAGTGATACACTGAATCATCACAAATTGGTCTGAATAGAGTTGATTAAGAAGTACAGAGTGCCCGGCATTGGTGAAGCATGCCTTTAATCCCAGCACTCAGGAGGCAGAGACAGGTGGATCTCTGTGAGTTCGAGGCCAGCCTGGTCTACCAGATCGAGTTCCAGGACAGGCTCCAAAGCAATACAGAGAAACCCTGTCTCAAAAACCCAAAAAAAGTATTTGAGCTTATGGATTTAAAAGAACCTGTGTCTATGAAAAAGTGTGTGTGTGAATAAATTCCTTTCAAACATATTAGTTGATTATTAATGTGTGAGTACAAATGTGTACCATGTGTTTGGGGGAGGATGCCATAACACATATTTGAGGTTAAAAGACAACTTTATGGAGTCAGTTCTCTCTTTCCACTTTTAAGTGAGTTCCCAAAATTATGACGTAAGCACCTTTACCCACTAACCTTGTTTTCATCCAGAAAAAAGTCTTCTTTCCTTCCTTCCTTCCTTCCTTGCTTGCTTCCTTCCTTCCTTTATTTTTTCCTTCCTTCCTTCTGAGACAGGGTTTCTCTCTGTAGCTTTGGAGCCTGTTCTGGAACTCACTCTATAGACCAGGCTGGCCTCTAACTCACAGAGATCCTCCTGCCTCTGCCTCCCAAGTGCTGGAATTAAAGGCATGCACCACCATTGCTAGGCCAATAAAAAGTCATATTTTTGATGAGGCAGAATAGTAGTGCTCTTTTAGCTTTCTCGATTTTCTTTTTTCATTCTATCTGGAACCTACCCTGCAGGATGGTATAGCTTGCATCTAAGGAGGGGACTCTTGTTCAGTGACATGCCTCTGGAAATATACTCTCAGATTTCCCCAAAGTTGGGCCTTATTAATGTTCCAGGTACTTTTTTTTTCTTTTTTCCTTTTTGGTTTTTCAAGACAGGGTTTCTCTGTGTAGCTTTGGAGCCTATCCTGGCACTTGTTCTGGAGACCAGGCTGGCCTCGAACTCACAGAGATCTGCCTGCCTCTGCCTCCCGATTGCTGGGATTAAAGGCGTGCACCACCAATGCCCTCCAGGTACTTTTTTTTTTAATTAAAAAAAACTATTAACATTTTACTTTATGTGTGTAGGCATTTTGTCTGCATGTACATCTGCATACCACATTCATGCCTGATGCTCTCAGATGCAAGGGGACATCAGATCCCCTGGAACTGGAGTTACAGATGGTTATGAGTCAAGGTGTGGGTGCTGGGAACTGAACCCAGAGCCCCTGGAAGAGCAGCCAGTGCTCTTAACCCCTGAGCCATCTCTTTACACTACCCCTACCTCCTGGCAGGTGTTCCTTAATCCAACTAAGATGACAGCTAAAATGAACCAAGTACCTCCCCAAGTTACAACAAAGGGAAAATAAGTATGTAAAAAGATGTCCCATGTCATTTATCATGTTTGAACAGGAAAAGACAAATAACAATTGATAGCACTAACACAGGTCTACTAGAACTGACAGCAGCAATGCTGGTTATGGTATGGAGTAACACATTCTCATTTATTGCTAGAGGGGATGACAATGGCATGGGTGCCTTGGAAGACAGCATATTGGTCTCTCACACAATTAACCCTTATCATGTGATCTAGCAATTGTGCTTGTTGTGGTTGAATGAGAATGTCCCCGTGGGCTCATGTATTTGAACACTTGGTCCCTAGTTGGCACTGTTGGAGAAGTTCTAGGGAGGCATAGCTGGAGGATGCCTTGGGTGGGTGGGGGAGGGGCAGGATTTCAGAGTTATAACCTTAACCCACTTCTAGTTTACTCTCTCTGCTTAGTGTTTGTCCTTAAAGACATGACCTCTCTGCTTCCTGCTCCTGTCTCTAAGCTTGCTGCTTGTTGCCATGCCTTCCTCTCCACTAAGGGCTTTCTTCCAGAAGCTGCTTTTGGTCCTGGGTGTTAATCACTGCATCAGAGAGGTACCAATTGCAGTACTCTTGTGTTCACTCAAATGAGAGGCAAACTTTTGTTCATTCAGAAAATTGCACATGGATAGTCACTGCAGCTTCGCTCCTCATTTACAAAACCTGGAAGTGACACCTGGTGTCCTTTCAAGTTGGCAAGTTGTGCATGGAGAAGTCATCTTCAGTACTTACTAACAACAGGGTATTATTCAGTAATAGAAAGAAATGAATTGCTGGGCGTGGTGACCTATGATCCCAGCCTTTGGGTGGTGGTAGAAAGATAATGAGTGTGAGGCCACCCTGGGCTACAGATTGAGGTCCTATTTTAAAGGAATTATCAACAACAAAATCAAGCCATTAAAAAAAAGCTACGGAGGGCCTGGAGAGATGGTTTAGAGTTGTGGTTCTCAACTTTGCTAATGCTGGAACACTTTAATACAGCTCCTCATGTTGTGGTGGGCCCCCCCCCCCAACCACGTTAAGTATTTCCTTGAGACTTCATAACTATAAATACACTACTATTATAAATAGTAATATAAATATCTGTGTGGTGATTTGAATAGGTATGGCCCCCGTAGACCCATGAGTTTGAATGTTTGGCCCATAGGGAGTGGCACTATTGGGGTGTGTCATCTTGTTGGAGGAGTGTGTCAGAGTGGAGGCTGACTTTGAGATGTCATACCCTCAAGCTATGCCTAGTCTCCATCTGCTGCCTACAGATAAAGATGTAAAACTCTCAGCTACCTCTCCAGCACCTGTTTGCCTGCATGCCACCCATCATGAAGATAATGGACTGAATCTCTGAACTGTAAGCCAGCCCCAATGAAATATTTTCCTCTGTAAGAGTTGTTGTAACGATTCAGGCATTATGCTGGCCTGCCCCTGCCACCTGGCAGAATGCACTCAGGCAGTAGCCTGGTTAGCCCAGGTGCATAGGACCCCTTTTAAAAAAGACTCCTGCCCGCTTACGCTCTCTTTCCTGCTGTTTACCTGGGCCAGGCAGAACTTTTCCTGTCCCCCTCTTCTCTTCTGTCCTGTCTCTGTGTCTCTTTACCTCTTTTCTCTTTCCTTCCCTCCTTTCCCCTTTGTAATAAAACTAAGCTCTGTCTGCCTGGCATGTTTGTCCTCTGCCTCAGCACCCTCGCCTGCCAGATTCCACGGTTCCCCTCATGCTTTATCATAACAGCTGTTATGGTGTCTCTTCCCAGCAATAGAAACCTTAACTAAGACAGTCTGATACGCAATCCCAAGGGTTGAGAAATACTGGCTTAGTGGTTGAGAGACTGTGCTGTGCGTGCAGAGGCCCAGAGTATGGTAACTCATGTAGCCAATCCCCTGGAACTCCCACTCCAGAGTTCTTACATTCTTTTCTGGGCTCTTCCTTTTTCCTTTCTCATCTTGTGAAGAGAAGCATGCAGGACCAGGACAGTCCATCCCCTACCCCCACCACCAGTCACCTCCATTTTGGAGAAGAAAATGGGAGTCATTAAGGAAACCTTGTTAGCACCTGAGAATCTCCATAAGGGCAAGGCTCTGGAGCTGCCTGTATTTTGCTCTTCTCTCCCAGCCATTTCTCGTGCTTGTATGTCTGCTCCTTTTACCACAGAGGGGTCTTGGCCGGGTTTATTTTCTCTGCCACTTAAAGAATTAAAAAAAAAAACTGGGAAAATTCCAGCCACAGGGGGAACATCTCAGCCGGAGCAGACAGAATGGCGGGTGGAGGGGTGATGACTGGCATGGTTAGAGATAAGGAAACACACACAAGCAAGCACACAGAAAGACCCTCTGCAGAACAAGAGAGGGGACTTGGGAACCTAAAACTGGTCCCTCCTTGAGGGCTGGGATCTTAAAGGGTCTTTAGGGAACCTTCAGCCTCTAATTTAGGTTCAGTTTGCACAAAGACAAGGAGGCTGGCAGGCCCACACCTTTGGGGGTAAACATGTGCCAGATCCAGTCTTGAACCTGTCAGATGGTTAACTGTTTGTGAGCCTTACTGGTGGGGGGCAGGGCAAAAGCCAGCTGCCCTTTATGTTAGGAGTATGAGGAAGAAGCCAGGAGTTGGCAGTCTTGCTTATCTATCTGTGACTGTTCTCCCTATCTACCTGCCCTTGGAGATCTGTCCACCACCCCCGGGGCCTCAACTCCACACTGAAGGGGAAGTCCAGAGTCACTTCCTCAAGTCTTACTGGAGGATTTGGATAAGATACAGGCCTTTCACAGGTGAGGAAGGGATTGTTGCAGACTTGGCATAGCAAGAGACATCCAGGCTAGGAATGGAGGGCATAGTCTCCCAACAAGCCTGGAACAAAGCCAGCAGAATTTGTTGAGTTGTGAGCGCAAACAACAGGCCCCAGCAGCTAAGAGCAAGGTGTGGAATGTGTCAGGTGAATGGAATGTAACGAAGGGACTCCAGTGTTTACTCTGAAGTAGTCCAAACACGGTGGGACCAAAGCCAGTGTGGAAGGGCTGTTATCTGAGGTCAGCCGGGTGGAGTACGTGGAGGGAGGTGTTTGGTGTGGGTGACGGCTGATGGCCCAGAGCACATTCCAGTTGGCAGATAAGTTGAATCAGAAAGGCCAGGCAAGATTCAGAGGGAGTCTGTGACTTTAATCCTAGTGTCAGTTAAAATAAAGCACAGAGAGCAGCTCCCGCTCCCCAAACCCTTGCCCCCACCCACCCCACTTATGTGGTACTTAGATGAACTCAGGGTCTTGTACACATGTGTGATGGACCATGGCCTACACTCCTAGTCCTATCCATATAGAAGTTTATTTTGTCTGTTTTGGTTTTGAGACAAGGTCTCAATATAAAGCCCTGGCTGTCCTAGAACTGAATGTAGACTGGGCCATTCTCGAGCTCACAGAGATCCTCCTCCTCTCAAATGCTGGGGTTAAAGGTGTGTGCTACCATGCCTAGTTCTTTGCTGCCCCATCCCTTGAGACAAGGCCTCTCTGCCTCAGCTCCTCTAAATTCAAACGTTAAAATTGAATTACAGAGCTGGGTGGTGGTGGTGCACGCCTTTAATCCCAGCACTCGAGAGGCAGAGACAGGCAGATCTCTGTGAGTTCAAAGCCAGCATGGTCTACAGAACGAATTCCAGGACAGCCTCCAAAGCAATACAGAGAAACACTGTCTCAAAAAAAAAAACCCAAAAAACAAAAAACAAAACCAAAAAAAAAAAACAAACCAATAAATAAATAAATAGAATTACAGAAATTAATTATTTTACTTGTTTACTATTGTTGAGACAGGGTCAGATTTAATCTTGACCTCACAGGGATCCACCTGCCTCTGCTCTCCGAGTACTGGAATTAAAGGTATAAGCCACCATAGCCAGTTTACTGGGACTTTTTTTTGGTTTTGATTTTTGGATTTCTCTTATTTCCAATGGCAGGTAGGTTTTTAAGTTTGTGTGCTTAACTACATATGACTGTCACCTTTTTTTTTTTATTGGACATTAGTTCTCAGTCAGAATATAAAAAGATTCAGTTTTAATTGAATTTCTCAAGGGTGGGAGCTGGGGGTAGAATGCTCTCCGTAATGGCCCCTCCTCAAGTAGGACTGGAATCCTCAATCGTGTTTGAGTTCCTGGTAAGAAGTTCAGTGGTGGGATTATTTTACGGTCCCTTTTCTTTTTCATCTTCCTTCCTTCCTTTTGTATAATGGCCAGTATACAGTTAACATACCAGGATCTCTATGTGGAGCTGGCACACTAAAGGAGACATGGCAGTCTGCAGGCCAACTACTGGTTATTCAAGCTACTTCAGGATTCAGTGTTTCTGACTTCAGGAGCATGGTGTGCTATGCTTATTTAGCATCAGGCTGGCTGCCAGGTCATGACTGTGTTATCTCCTACAGGATTGCTGTCTTATATAGTTATACTCCCATCCTATAGGATATTACAAATTACAAATTATTCCTCCTACCCAGGCCATCTTAAAGTCATCACTATGTTGTGAAGGTGCAAGAATGGACCTTACTTTTTTCCCCCTTTGCTAGAAGGCTCTTGCCCTGTGGTAAGGATTTTGCTCAAATGCCATATTCACAGTAATGCCTTTTAATTACAATTTTTATTTTTGGGGATTTCATGCATGAATACTGTATTTACATCATTTTTAACCCTTTTCTATCCCTCTAACTCCTCCTGTGTCCCCTGACAACTTCTCAAATTTATGAGCATTTCTTCTTTAATTATTATTATTACATACATACATAGGTAACTGTGTAACTATTTGTGCATACAAACACACAACTGGGGAAGCTTAGGGTTGCACACACACACACACACACACACACACACACACACACACACTTAGGGCTGACCCCTGGGGATTGGAGAGCCTATATGGGAGCTGGTCCCTGTAGAAAACTGATTCACCCTCCATAGCAATTGATTGCGTATAGCTCTTCATTTTAGGGTGGAATCTTGTGAAATTTGTCCTGTCCATGTTGGCATGTCAATTGGTGTGTGTTGTCATTATGTTCATTTTCTTCGAGCAACTATGGGTACAGTATCTGTCATAGCTAACAGACACTATCTTGTAAGAATCCTTAAGCCCTCAAAAGATACTTTTTTTTTTTTTAGATTTTTATTTATTTACTATGTATACAACATTCTGCTTCCATGTATATCTGCACATCAGAAGAGGGCACCAGATCTCATAACGGATGCTTGTGAGCCACCATATGGTTGCTGGGAACTGAACTCAGGACCTCTGGAAGAGCAGTCAGGGCTCTTATCCTCTGAGCCATCTCTTCAGCCCTTTTTTTTTTTTTTTTTTTTTTTTTTGTTTTTTGGGAAAGTTTTTTTTTTTTGTTGGCCTCGAACTCACAGAGATCCATCTGCCTCTGCCTCCTGAGTCCTGGGATTAAAGGCCCGGCCAAAAGATGCTTTTAAGTTTTGGCTCAAATTTGACCCTGTTTGGAAGTCAGGTCTTTGCAGATCATCACGTTAAAATGAAATCAATAGAGTAGACTCTAATCTGTGATGGCTAGAGTTCTTAAGAATGTGAGAGCCAGGCATTGGTGGCACTCGGGAGGCAGAGGCAGGCGGATCTCTGTGAGTTCGAGGCCAGCCTGGTCTCCAGAGGGAGTGCCAGGATAGGCTCCAAAGCTACACAGAGAAACCTGTCTTTAAAAACCAAAAAAAAAAAAAAAAGAAAAAAGAAAAAGAAAAGAATGTGAGAGAATGTAAATATGGAGGCAAAGAGAAAGGTTGTGAGATACGGGTACTATGTCTGCTATCTCTAATCCAAGGAGAGCTTGAGGCTACCCCAGTATAGAAAGAGACATGGGACCATTTTTCTTTAATCTTCAGTTGGAACAAACCCCACTGTCACCTTGATTTTGGACTTCTGTGACACCATACATTTCTGTCATTTGAGCCATCTACTTTATGGTACTTGCTTACAGCAGTCCACAGATCAACTCTATTTTCTTTGGCCCACAACTATTCAAAGTTGTGCATTTCATTTCTCTTCTTTTCTCTAGAATGCAATCGCCCTTCAGTATCCAAGGGGCACTGGTGTCAGGGCAGCAAAATCAAGAGACATTCAAGTGCTTCGTTTAAAATGGTGTAGTATTTGCATATTACCTACACATCTACTACCTACATTTGGATGTATTCTCACTATACCCTTTGTCTTAGGGAGGGTTTCTATTGCCATGAAGAGACACCATGACCATGGCAACTTGTATAAAGGAAAACATTTAATTGGGTCTGGCTTATAGTTTCAGAGGTTTAGCCATTCTCATCATGGCAGGCAGACATGGTGCTGGAGAAGGAGTTCTACATCTTTCGGAAAACAGAGCATGGTTTCAGACACTGGGTGGTATCTTGAGCATAGGAAACCTCAAAGCCTGTCATCACAGTGACATGCTTCCTCCAACAAGGCCAAACCTACTGCAGCAAAGCACCTCCTAATAGTGCCACTCCCTACTATCTTATGGGGGTCAATTATATTCAAACTATCACACCCTTCTACATACCTGTAACATCTAACAAGATGTTAATGCCCTGCACACTCTTTTCTAATTTCCTAGGTTTTTCAGTCTATAGTTGAGTGAACCTGCATTTAAATGCACTAAAGGATTTTATGAAGCTAAGAAAATTATTGGGTTCTTAGAGAAGTAACACATTTAATTTTTCCCTTATTTCATTTTCATTCAGTGTCTACAAGAGAGCTCTTATGCAAAATGCTGAATATAGTTAATCGTGGTATAGTGCATACTCAAAAATTACTAAGACAGTAGATTTTGTAATGGTATGTGAGGTTTGTACATATTAATTAGCTTAACTCAGCCATTCCATGATACATACATATTTCAAAGTATTTATGCTGCACACTGTAAGTGCAGACAATTTTATCAGCCATCGTGGTGGTTTGAATGAGAATGGCCCCATATGCTTATGACTACTTGGTCCTCAGATGGTGAAACTGTTGACCAAGGATTAGGACACATGGCCTCGTTGGAGGAGGTGTGTCACTGGGGGCAGGCTGTGAGGTTTCAAAAGATTCAAGTTAGTCCCAGTATGTCTTCTCTGCCTTCTGCTTGAGATCTGAGCTTTCAGCTGCTGTTGCAACACCCTGTACCGTGACTTCATTCTGCCATTATGGATTCTGACCCTTTGAAAGTCTAAGCCCATTGTAACACTTAATTTTGTAATTTGCTTCTATCACAGCAATAGAAACCTAACTAAGACATTTACACATTAAAAAAAAAGGAAAGGAACTCAAAGTTTGTTTAACAGGAAGTGTGACATGCTACAGTGGGGTGAGAATTCAAGGCGTTCATGCTAACCACTGATCACAGCTCCCTGATGGAAGGGCATCCTCCCATATTTCACAGGAATAAGAGTCTGGACCAGACCACTCTGCAGACATGCTGTGGCTTCTGCAGAGCCAGGAAAGCAGTGGCTTTACTGTCCCTGAGAGCTCGGTGATAGAGATAGCCCCGGTGTCCCTGCTTCTGCTGCATGGGAGCTTGGTGTTTTGCAGTCCTTGCAACAATGTGGTCTGGAGGAACATTAACCAGCCAGGCCAGCTAGCTTTCCAGCATGAACGTGGAAGTGCTGGCTCAGTGGCCCAGGGGTGGGGGTCATGGAGTGGAATGAGTGCGAAGGACAGACACCTGTGCACACAAGATATACACACATTCTTTCTTCTTTTAGAAGTCGTGAGTAAAGCTGTATTTTTTCCTTCCTTAAATATAAATATTTATCACCGTGGTGTGTGTGTGTGTGTGTGTGTGTGTGTGTGTGTGTGTGTGTTTGAGCACATGGCACACATCTCACAGCACAAGTGTGGATATTAGATGAAAACAATTTCTGGTACTGTCCTTCCACTGTGGGCTCCTGGGATAAAACTCATCAGGCCTTGGCAACAAAGAACTTTTACCTTCGGAGACATCTTGTTGACTCACCCATCCTTCTTTTTCTCTCCTCCCTCCCGACCTCCCTCAATACCTCCCTCCATCCGGCCCTCCCTCCTTCCTCCCTCCCTCCTTTCCTTTTCCCCCTTCTTTCCTTTTGAAAAGGTCTCATGCTGTCCAGGTTGGCCTCAAGCTCCTCATATAGCCTAGACTAGCCTTCATCTTCCGACCCTCCTGACCCAATCTCACAAATGCTGAGATTTTAGGCATGTACCACCATTGCCTGCCAGGTAATAAGTTTTTAATATTTTTTAAGATCTTATTTATTTATTATGTATACAACATTCTGCTTCCATGTATATCTGCACACCAGAAGAGGGCACCAGATCTTATAATGGATGGTTGTGAGCCCCCCTATGGTTGCTGGGAATTGAACTCAGGACCTCTGGAAGAGCAGCCAATGCTCTTAACCTCTGAGCCATCTCTCCAGCCCAATTTTTTAATATTTTCTTTTTGCAGCCAAACTGCATTAAAAACCATTTGGAATAGAGATTAACATCACCGACCGAACAGTGAAGATGCACTGGACATTTCACTCTTGTCTTCCCTTCCTCAAAATGGAGTCTTACAGGGAGACTCATTCTCCCAATTTAATGACAAGAAAATGAAAACTTGGAGCCTTTAAGGATCTCACCTGGAAAATTACAAGCAATCAACCAGAAAGTTGCAGGGCTGGTTGGAAGCACAGAGTGTTCTATGGTGTCCAAATTACTCTGCCTTGGGTGTGTGGTTTTATTTTTACATCCTGTAAATGGATTTTTTTTTTTTTTGGTTTTTCGAGACAGGGTTTCTCTGTGGGTTTTGGAGGCTATCCTGGAACTAGCTCTTATAGACCAGGCTGGTCTTGAACTCACAGAGATCCGCCTGCCTCTGCCTCCTGAGTGCTGGGATTAAAGGCATGTGCCACCAACACCCGGCTTTTTGGGGGGGGGGTAAATGGATTTCTTAATTGGTCTAAATATTAAAAACTCAGAGTCAGATATACAGGAAAGTGTTGAGAGATCAGAGAGAAGGAACAAGCCATGGCCACACCTTACCTCCTTAGCATTTCAGCAGACAAGAGAGAGTTCCTGTTTCTCCCTGCTTATATCCTGTTTCTGCCCAGCTATCTCACTTCCTGTCTGTCTATACAGACTTTCAGAGCTCTATGGTGAGCTAGTGGCAAGCTCCATTCTCTGACCCCCAGACAGGCTTTATGTGTACAAGCAAGATATCACCACAACATCCAATTATTTCATCTCACAAACAAATGTCAAATGTCTGCTTGGCACTGGGTACTCAAATACATTCTGAGTTTTCAATGTTAAACAAAAATAGACCCATAGAAATTATAGGCTAGTTAGGAGAACAAACAAAATCATATCTGAGAGTGTCAAGAGGGTACATGCTTTGCACGAATGAGGCCTTGGGTTCAACTCCCGGCAACAAAGAACAAACAAGTACAAAATCACAATTGAAATGTGACAAATGCAATAAAGGAAAGGCACATGTTATCATGCAAACATGCAGTGCTTGGTATTTTGTATTTCTTTATTACTCTATATTTGCTTTACATCTTTATGTCTGCCTAGCATGCATTGAGTTCAGTCCCCAGTACCATATAAAAGTAGATTTGGTGACCCATGTCTGATTTCAGCACTTGAGGTGTAGAGGCATAAGGATGGGAATTTAAAAAAAATATATAGATGGCCCAGCAGTTAAAAGCACCAGCTGCTCTTCCAGCAGAGCTGGGTTTGACTTCCAGCACCCACATGGTGGCTCACAACTGTCTATAGCTCCAGTTTCAGAGGATTCGATGCACTCTTCTGGCTTTTACAGGTACCAGGCATGCACTTAGCACACAGACATACATGCAGGCAAAACATGACAATGGTGTCACCTTGTGCACCTAATTCAATAACAGGCATACAGTCATTATTTAATAATTGTTGAATCAACCAATTTATTTATATTTGTTGAGTGCCTATTCAATGCTTGACACCATTCAGAGTGCGGGAAAAATAAGATATTCCTTTTTGTAAGACTCTTCTAAGTTGGTCAAGTGAAACTTCTGAGTTGGAGGTCCTCAGATATCAGGAACAAGCAAAGCTGGAGTCCTGTGGAGAAGTCTGATCTGCCAGGTGTCTGCAGTCAGACTGAGGGCAGGAATGTGGTTTGCGGGTCTGGGGAACTTTTCTGATATCTCAAGATTTGGATATGTGGTCAGCTGCCAATCTGTATAATAGTTACTGACTTCTCACCTTTATAACTGCTGGATAGTTTATGTCAACTTGGCACAAGCTAACGCCATCTGAGAGAAGGGAACCTCAATTAACAAAATGCTTCCATAAGACGGGGCTGTAGGCAAGCCCGTAGGGAATTTTCTTAATTCATGGTTGATGGGAGAGGGCCCAGTCCATTGTGGGTGGTGCCTTCCCTGGGCTGGTGGTTCTGGGTTCTATAAGAAAGCAGGCTGAGCCTGGTGGTGGTGGCTCATGCCTTTAATCCCAGCACTTGGGAGGCAGAGGCAGTCAGATCTCTGTGAGTTTGAGAACCAGCCTGTAGGAAGCCGGTTCCTGCATTATAATGCTGCCTGAAGACACCAAGGTGTGAATTACTTCACAGGCGCTGGGTAATCTCCATTCCTTTGATCTCTGCCTATCCCGTGGCTCATTTTAGCCTGAGGAGCTAAAGCCATTCATAGGGTAATACGTCCCAGGCGGCTGGTCAGCCTTTTATATAGGGATGGTTTTCTTGGATCATTCTCTCTCCTCAGTCTAATGCATTAAAGCTTGTCTGCAGAAGGATCCGAGTGTCCTGCGTGTATTTCTTGCTGGCGAGGAATACAGAGCGGGCGCGGGACACCAGCCTGGTCTCAAACAAGAGCTAGTTCCAGGACAGGCTCCAAAGCCACAGAGAAACCCTGTCTTGAAAAACCAAAAAGAAACCCTAAAACAAACAAACAAACAAAGGAGGCTGAGCAAGCCATGAGGAGCAAGCCAATAAGCAGCACCCATCAATGGCCTCTGCATTAGCTCCTGCCTCTAGGTTCTTGCCCTGCTTGAGTTCCTGCCCTGACTTCCTTTACAATGATGACCACAGTGTGGAAATGTGAGCCAAATAAACTCTTTCCTCCCCAACTTGCTTTGGCCATGGTGTCTCATCACAGCAATAGTAACACGAAGACAATAATAAAAATGCTTTGCTCTTAGTAGAGTTCTTAATGGAATCATTAAATATTAACCTGAAAGGAGTTATCATGTCTAAGTGCTCATTATATTAGCTAGGAGTATTTTTTTTTCTTTTTTTGGTTTTTCAAGAAAGGGTTTCTCTGTGGCTTTGGAGGCTGTCCTGGAACTAGCTCTTACAGACCAGGCTGGTCTCAAACTCACAGAGATCTGCCTGCCTCTGCCTCCCGGGACGAAAGGCGTGCACCACCACTGCCCTGCTCTTAGTTAGGAGTATTTTCATTATAAGTAAAAACAACAAAACTAATCCCTCTCCAACCATTTTAGAGGAAAATCACTGGTTGAGACAACAGAAAAGGCTATGCAGATAAACAGTAGTTTTCAGGGAAGCCTTGATCCCAGCCTCCGAATGTTAGAAATGTTGGTTATTCCCTTGGCTTTCTTAGTCTTTGGCATTGCCTCAGTACCACAAGTCTGCCTTCATTGTGGTTACAAGGTACCACTGTCTAAATCTCTCACAGACGTAGGTTTTTTTCATTCATTCCCTGGGTGAAGAGAGTTTAACTCTAGGTAGCTCCCATAGAATAAGAAAGTTTCTTTCTTTCTTTGGAATCTCCAGCAAATATCACTGTATCTTGCATTCCACTGATCTGGGGTAGGGTTTGTCTTTTACCAAATTGCCCTGGGTAAGAGGATAACAGGATGCAATCAAAGCACCGGAGCTAAGAGTGGGTCAGGTTTCCCCAGTGCACACGGACTACACGTGAAAGGAAGGGACACAGGATGGAGAGCAGGACACTGAGAAAGGAGGAATTGCTGGCTGGAGATAAAGAACCGCATCTGCTACACTTAAGGTCTAGAGCTTCGTCTCTGCACTCAACACAGCCTCTTATTAATGGCCCATCATAGGCAACGCACTGTGCTAAGTGCTTTGGTAACTAATATCCTTGATCCCATGAAACCAGAGAGTATAAGATAGGAGACATGCACAGCCAGAGTGGAAGACGGCACATAGAAAACCCTCTCCATGGGTGCACAAGGCACTTTCTTCCTTAACTGATCTGAACAGTAACTATTGGACTGTGTGCTGAGAATCCTCCCCTTGTGGGTGGCAGGTTTCTGAGACACTCTACCACGTTACCCAATTTTTCATTCCGTCACCATGTAAGATGAACTAATATAGAGAAAATGAAACTTTTGTGTCCAATACTTTTACCACATTCTTCAAAGGATTAACTGAGTGGTTTATTATGGTAACCCTACTTTCCAAACGTACCCTTGAGCCTCCAGGACATATCCAGAAATATTTACCCTACATGGGATGACGGAGGCAGTTTCTCCCTTCCTTAGTCCTAAAATAGCTTCCCTTTTCCATGTTTCCCAGCATAACACAAAGGAAGAACCTTAATTCTTTTGCTCTGAATTTAATGGGTTATGCTTTTTTTAAAATGCCTAGTTAGAGCCTACTGCAATGTTGGTCCATGACGAATGCTAGATGAACTTGGACCCACAGCTAGAGAGGGTTGTCATGCTTGTTTCCCCTTTAGAGATCCTAATTAGGCAACATCTAACTTCAGATTATCCTTGACCCAAGATTTCATTAATCTATTTAAATAGAAGTTATCATCTCCCCTTTGGGTACCTAACATACTGATCAAAGATTGCAAGCTTTGGCCAGGTGTGGTGGTGCCCATTTTTGATTCCAGCTGTAAAAAGGCAAAAGCAGACAGATCTCTGTGAGTTCAAGGTCAACCTGGTCTACCCATTGAGTTCCAGGTCTGCCAAAACTGCACTGTGAGACCCTGCCTCAAAAATAAACAAAAGCAAAAACAGGATTGCAAGCTTGGACAGGTGCAGGGCAAGCAGCTTTTGAAAAGCATATAGTAGGATGTTCATAGATCCATATCAATCTTGTTTTGTTTTTGAGAAAGGGTTCCTCTGTGTAGCAGCCCTAGCTGTCCTGGAACTCTCTCTGTAGACCAGGCTGGCCTCGAACTCATAGGAATCCATCTGCCTATGCTCCTGAGTGCTGAGATCAAAGATGTGCGCCACCACCACCCAGCCATATCAATCTTGACATATATTTTTTAAAAGTATGTGTGTATGTGTGGGGGTGCATGTTTGGAGATCAGAAGACAACTTTTGGGAGTCTGTTTTCTTCTTTCATCGTGGGATCCAGAGCTCAGATTTAAGTCTTCAGGCTTGCTTGGAAAATGCTTTTATGTACTGCTGAGCTGCTGAGAGATGTTGCCACCCTACACACACACACACACACACACACACACACACACACACACATACACACACACACACAATACACACACACACACACTCACACACACTTTTGCATCTGCCCCAGACAATTCCACACAACAGTGCAAGTGGCTAACTTACTGAACTTTTTATGGAATGATGAGAAGAACGCTTGAACACCAAGAATAGAAACAATCTCATTCTCCAGTCAGAGGCATCTGGAAGGCTACATACTGAACCAGGCCATGCAGGGGCCCACTGGGAGGGAAAGAGAAAGAAGCAAGAGAGGAGCCAAGGACTGAGAAACCAACAGACTGCATAGCCAAAATGGCTGAGATTGTATAGGAATCAGAGAAACTGGGGGAGGGAAG